AGGCTAGCGCTCTACCATTTGAGCCAGAGTGCCACTTCCGGTTTTCTGGTGATTTATTGAAGATAAGAGTTTCACGGACTTTCCTGCACGGGCTGGCTTTGAACCGTGATCCTCAGATCTCAGCCACCTGAGTAGCTAGGATTATAGGTATGAACCACCAGTGCCCGGACCAGGATTGTTGATTGAGATAGAATTCACTTTTTGTCCAGGCTCAACTCAACCCACAATCATCCCAAATATGTGTCCTGAGCAACTGATATTACAGACATGAACCACCATGCCTGGCCCTTGATGTCTTCCATTTATTTATTTATTTATTTATTTATTTATTTATTTATTTTTGTCTGTTGTGGGGCTTGAACGCTGGGCTTGCGTGCTGTTCCACAGGCTCTTTAGCTCAAGGCTAGCACTCTACCACTTGAGCCACAGCACCAGTTTTGGTTTTCTGGTGGTTAACTGGAGATAAGAGTCTCACAGACTTTCTTGCCTGGGATGGTTTTGAACCGAGATCCTCAGATCCCAGCCTCCTGAGTAGGTAGGATTACAGGCATGAGCTACCAGTGCCAGTCTCTTTCTATTTTTTTAAAGACAGAAAAACTTAGTTTTCTAGTCGTACTATAAACTTAGCTCCTTTCTTTAGGTTTATTAATGAAAATGGTTGCAAATATTTGTGCTAGAGTATGCAAATTTTACACTTACCAAGGCATTTAGTTTTTAATTCTCTCCTCTTTGGACTAGTATTAAAACTCTTGTCTTTGGTATTTTATATGAAAACATTTAGCTATGTTAGCATTGATTGTCTAGGTTCTATGTCAGACAATGGATTTGGGATAGAATTATTTGCTCTTCAGATGGCGACCTAGTGTTTATTCTTCCCACCCCATCCAGACCATTTTGAGTTTTGAAATATGCCTTATAAGTCCTTCTGTTATAAAAGAGGCATTTGATGTCACCAAGTACCTAAACAGTCTTTAAACTCAGGTCTCCATGACCAGGCCCGATGTTGTAAATAAGCTGTTCATGCTTAATTGAATCTCACAATTTAAATGAGGGAGAGACTCCTTACCTGAACAATGATTTATCTGGTCATTGATATGGGACTCATGGCTGGAGCATTATCCTCTCTAGAGAAAATTGTAAAATTGAGGGAGATTTCAGCATGTTTGGGGCCATTCAATCATCAACATTGGGATAGCAAGGGCCTCTCCAGGTTTCTGTGAACTATGATTCCACTGCTTGCTGAGGCCTTGTCACTAAATTTATTATTTATTTATTTGTCTTTCTCTCAACGTGTTACTGCTACTTTTAATATAAGCTCTGCACTGATTTCATCAACTGATTAAAGCATTTGGGAAGTGACTGCTGACAATACTAGAGATCCCCATTAGTTTAGTGGGAGAATGCAGACAGGCCTGGTGGGAACCTAAGACAAACTGGGGTTGCGTGTGGATCAGCCATGGAGGCACCCAGTTCCTGGTGCAGTGTCACCAGGAGCAGGTGTGTGTACATATAGGACTTAATGAGACGAAACATTTGATTCATCTTTAAGTAAGTGTCACTTGTCCATTGTTGTTTGTAAGTTAATAAGAAACAGTGTTAGGTACAGTTCTAGGAATTAGAGCAGTGTGTAATATGGGAGGGAAGGGGAAACTCTAAGGAAGTTTGACTTGTCAACTATATCCAGCTGCAGCCAGATTGGGTAGGAGTCAAGAATTAAATCCTTGAGACTGAGAACAGGGTTGAAACCAGAGTGGAAGATAAAAGTTTAATAGTAAGATTTATCATGAACAAAGTTATGAAAAAGCCCTATGTCCAATATTAAATAAAATAGACTAGTTTACTTTAGGAATTTATGTAGTTGAACCAATAATTTTTCTGTCTTATTTTTTTCTTTTATGTTTTTGAGTATCCTCTTCTGCTACTTTTTTTATATTTTGAGATAACAGAAATTGTGACATTTGGTTACATATAGTTTTTCTTCTGAATACTAATATACTCATGTATATGGAATATATTATGATATATTATAGAGTCTTATATGATATACATCATATTATGATACATAATATATAACAATATATAACACATCATACATTATGAATTACCTATTGTATATATTATATATAAGTTAAGATTAGCTACAACTCTTTTGATTGTTTTTGAGTTGGACAAAACTGAATCTGTGGTGGTGGTGATAGCTCAGTGATAAAGCACTTGCCTAGCACGCAACCCAAGCAACCAAAATAAAAACAAAAAAGACCCAAAAACAACCCAGCTGGATCCACATAGAATGCTATTTTTGGAGGCAGGAGGAATGGGTAGTTAAGATAAGAAAGTAACTCTGCCTTAGAGTCAAAATTACATTTGGACTAAAATGTTTTGCCAAATTTATGCAGTTTTATATAGCCAACCATTGGCACACAACAGTCCATAGGCCCAATTCACAGCCTGATTTGGCAGATAAGATTTTGTTAGAATACATCTATGCCCCTTTGTCCATATGTGGAGTATGACTGTCTTCCTTCTGCAATGGCAGAACTGAGTAGTTGTGATCAAAGCATATGACCTCCCCTCCAGTGCCGAAAATAACTGCAGTCCTTCATTTAAAAAAAAGTTTGATTGTGGATTTAAACCAGGAATCAGAACAGAATTTACTAATAAGAGTGAATTTATATTGAGAGGTAGTGAAAATGGTACAGAGTTTTACTGAATTGAGCCTCAAAAGAAACTGAGGTGAAGGTCATACATCTTCAGAATGGACAGCACTATTTCTCCTGGAGTCACACTGCCTCTGGGCCAGTCAATGCTGTGAGAGAAACAGCCCCTATTCCCTTCTAGAAAAAAATGTTTCTAGTTCATGAATATATCAATCAACCTTGCTTTATGTCTTCATGAAGATTGCTGAATTACAGGTAATCACAGATTTGGGGTTAATTTTAAAAAACAGACCATCTGGCAGCTTCTGCCTATAGTCTATGCCTCCTTGTTCTCTGATGTGCCCATTGTTGAACTTATCTTCTTTATCTGCTTTAGTTCAGAACATAAATCATCGACTCTTCCAACCTGATTAGTCAATGTACCTGATTAGACAATTTACAACCAATTGCTGGTACCTACTGAGACTATGTTAAAGATATTGAGGAAAAGAAAGTAATGGGATTCTATTGGTATTTCCATTCTGCCTTGAGGATAACTGGGGATGAATGATTAGTTGTATGCGGCAGCAGCCAGACTGAATAGGAGATGGGAATTAAAACATTGAATCTGGGCCCCAATGACTCACACCTATAATCCTAGCTATTCAGGAGGCTAAGATCTGAGGATTGTGATTCAAAGCCTGCTCAGGAAAAAAAGTCCATGAGACTCTCATCTCCAATTAACTACAAAAAAGCTGGAAGTGGCAAGTGGTAGAACATTAGCTTTGAGTAAAAAAGCTCAAGGACAGAACCTAGGCCCCAAGTTCAAGCCCCAAGACCAACACAAAAACAAAATAAGTAACTAACACTAAAATTGAGTAACAAGGTGAAAATCCGGTGAGATTAAAGATGAAATTTAATGGTAGGGTATGTCATAAACCATGTTATGACAAACCTATAAGTCCAATACTACAATCCTGCCAGCCTATGAGAAGGAGTTTTGAATCTTGATTGACTTTAATATAAGTTTGTAATCCACATATCCAAGATTAATTGATCTCTTACTTTATAAACAGGACCTTATTCTAATGAATTTGGGGTAGTGGGAAGTATAGTGGTGCTCAAAAAGCAGATGGACTTTCATTTGATCCCTGACATTATCATCTCCTAGCATTTCAAATAAGGGGGAAATATTGAACTTTTGAGCCATGGGGGCTTTGGGGTGATGATTACCAATGTCAGATGGTAGCTGAGGAGACTGAGTATACACCTAGATTTCCTAATGCTACATCAGCAACAAAGGAGAAAATTAGATGCAGATGCTAGGCAGCTCACTATGCATTTTGTTGTTGTTGTTATTGTTGTTAGCAGTGCGTTTCCTTTTTAAATTTTTTTTTCGCTAAGAGCAGGAAATAATTGGTAGTGCTTCCATTCGATCACTCTTATTAATTAGTATTGTTGGTAAGTTGAATTCACATCAGACAATTAGCCGTGACAATTAGCATTAAATGGGTTGTGAATTGTGCGAGGATTTCCAACCTTGACATCAATACAGACATGTAAGGAAAAACATGCAATACATCAGATTTCAGTGGCAACTTTTTGTTTTACAGAATGGTGTCTGTTTGCATGCTTGTATGCAAAATAGTCCTAGGATATTCTTTCAGGAGTTCTTTGCAAAATAATTAATTTTTACTGTGATGATCTTCTATGTTTCTTAAAATCACTGGGACCGTTATTTCTAGCTTACCTCAAATCATGATCTCTTCTACCCCCCTCCTCCACCTTCCAGTAGCTGGGTTTACAGATGTGAGCTGTTGTGCTTGGCTGGGACAATTTCACTGTATTTTTTTTGTATGTGTGCTTTTATTTTTTTCTATCTAAGTTAGTTTCAGATCTGAAAACATATTCTTTGGTACCATTATATATGTATATTTCCTTCAAGTGTTTCCAAAACACTATTCTGGTTGTTAGTAAGGACAGCATAGTGGAATATAGGGGTATTAGCAGGAATAAATATAAACTTAGACTTGCTCTGGCATGGTATTAATTCTGATGACACCAAACTGGGCCAAGTGGAATCTAGTAGTTTGGGTTAAAACATCTGAGATAATATATTTTATTTGAAAAGTGTAGAAATACTAAAAGCAGGTATGTTACTCTGGTGGTGCAGTAAGAAGGTACACATCTTTACCAGCACTTCTGATTATTTTGAAACAGCCATGTGTATCAGAATTTTGTTTCACATGAAAATGACATATGATGATATGCTTTTTTTGCCTTTTTGCATCTCCGTTTTCATCTTCATAAAGGTATAAAGTCATGTACTCACTCCTCTTTCTGCTCTCACTCTGCTGTCTGTAGACACCTGGGTCCCCTGTGATCTTGAACCAGTAGCAGCTGCCAGTCCCACCCCAGACAACAGCTCTTCACGAGGAAACCACAGCAAGCACCAGGGCAGCACCATGTTCTGCACAAAGCTCAAAGATCTCAAGATCACAGGCGAGTGTCCTTTCTCCCTGCTGGCCCCAGGTCAGGTTCCTCAGGAGTCCACAGAAAAGATGGCCGGAAGCTCAGAAAGCTGCAAGACAACTTTACCCATCTGCCAGGACATCCCTGAGAAGAGTGCACAGGGGAATCTGCCTCAAAGAAAGACCAGCCGGAGCAGAGTCTATCTTCACACACTGGCAGAGAGTATTTGCAAACTGATTTTCCCAGGGGTGAGTACCTGCCTTTTTGAGATATTTGTGACACTTTGTGATTGTAAACAACAAAATGCTTCTCTAAAGAAAATGCTTAGGAACACTTGCTTTCTCACTTCCAAGATTATAACAAGTACAGAATATTTTCTTGGAATACATGAAAGCATTTTTAAAAACTGTTATTCCATACATTGCGTTTAATCTTAAGATGAGAAATGCTATGAATTCTTTTTAAAATTATCTTGTGCTCTGAGAAACTACCTGACTTTGGACAGTGATGCTTCTTTATTAGCCTCAATCTCCTCTCTGTATTATGAAAATAGTAGTATCACCTTCCTCCTGGAGTTTCAATGAATCCTTGTAGGAGTATAAGTGCTCAGCAGTTTTTAGCTACTAAAGTTATCTTTTAGTGACTACTTTAAAGCTAAATATTCCTTGAGGAAAATGTATTTTCTGTCACTTTCTTTTTCCAGTTCTAAAGCACATCATATATTACTTGATAATTTTTTTTTTTTTTGGTCCAGTCATGGGGCATGAACTCTGGGCCTGGGCACTGTCCCTCAACTCTTTAGCTCAAGGCTAGCGCTCTACCACTTGAGCCATAGCACCACTTCCGGCTTTTTTATTTTCTGCTTATGTGGTGCTGAGGAATCAAACCCAGGGCCTCATGCATGCAAGGCAAGCGCTCTACCACTGAGCCACCTTCCCAGCCCTTGCTTGATAATTTTTGAAAGTGTGAAAATTTCCATTTTCCATCTGACTCTGTAAGACTGCTCAATTGTTTCTCGATCTGTTCACAGGCAGGATCCTGTGACTGCAGGTATCTCTGAGTTGTTAGCCCTGAACATTTGTTATTTTTCTGTGTGCTGTGTTAGATAATGTCATTTTGAAATCTATAGCACCTTCAGTTCATTAGAAGAACTCTGAGAACAGAGTAAATACCTTACTGGTGGATAGGACCGAGTTCTTATCTCATGCAAGGTTCAAAAGAAGAGCAATTGAAAATACTCATAAAGTCTTCTGTAAGTGTTCATAATATAAACTTATTTAATCTATAAGGTTAAGGCATTGACATAATCAAATTAGCTATCATAATAAGTTCATTTTTTGTTAGTATGAGGTTTGAATTCAGCAACTTTTGCTTCCTAGGTAGATGATCTACTGCTCAACAATGCCTCTTGGCCTTCTTCTTTCTCCTTCCCTCCCTCCTGCTCCTTCTCTTTTTCCTCCTCCTCCTCCTTCTTTACCTTCTCTTCCTTTTCTTCCTCCTCCTCCTCCTCCTTCTTTGTTCTCCTGTCTTCTCCTCCTCCTCCTCTCCTTCTCTCCTCGATATGTTTACTATATTCTTGGGTTAATCTGGAACTATGATTTTCCCATTTTATCCAGGATGATATGTGCCCATGTGCCCAACTATATGTTGTGAAGCAATCTCAACACTGCTTTTCCTGCATTGGCTTTGAACCATAATCCTCTTGATTTCAGCCAAGTAGCTAGCATTACAAATGTGAACTTCCATATCTGGCATATATTCACAATCTTTAATTTATGTGAGACAGTCCACCATATTTTGAAATGTGTGGAAGAATCCAGTCTCACTGTTTTTTAGAACTAAAAGGAATTTCAGAGAAATACTGCTTTATCACCAGGAAATTATAAAGAAATTCAATGATTTTACCAAAATCAAACAGCTGTCAATGGGGAAAAAATAGCCATGTTCAACCATGTAGGCTAGCATGGTGAGAAAAGAGGAGACACAAAGGAATGATAAAGTACAATTAGTAGGACGTTGAGGAAAATTGTAAGAGACAGAGATGAATAGACAGAGATGAATATGAGCAATGTCAGTGCTTTCTCTGAATCTTGCCATTACTGTGTCACCATTTTTATGTTACTTGATAAATTTTAAGTTGCTACAATACCAATCCTGTTCATGTTGGAATTGAGACAGCATAGAGTAGAGAAAACAAGACAGGAATTTAAAAACTGAGCTTCAAGCAAATACAGGAGTCTGATTTTTCACTCATCAACTTCCCTTAAGATTAAGGTGGACCCGTTGCAACAATGAGAAGTACAAGTTGTTATGTCGAAAATGAACTTTACAACTTTGGTGGGGGGGGGGGGGGGTGAATTGGGTGGGAGGGTGGAGGAAGGATGGGAAGGGATGGGAAGGGGAAACAAAGGAGGAGGCTACAATGCTTGATAAGAAATGTACTCATTATCTTGCCCATGTAATTGTAACCCCTCTGTACAGTATTTTCACAATAAAAAATAAATAAAAATTAAAAAAAAGATTAAGGGACCAACTTCATTTTAGGGGAAAATGAGGCAAGATAGACTAGGGAAAATTAGGTGAATGACAGCCAAGAATTTAGAATCAGTGTATTTAGAAACTTAACACTATCTTCTTTGTTTTATCCCTTGTGCTGCTTCATCACTTCAGTATTAGCACAAGGAAAAAAAAAGAGCAAGCTTTCTCCATCTGATCTTGCCTGCTGGTCCCAAACAATTAGTGTGCTCTAAAACCTGAGAAAGGACATCATAAAAAAGACACATATCCTGGAGAAGCAAATACTTGGAAAATGGCTCCTCTTGACACAAAGTGCTTATCTCAAAGAATAAACATTTGTGGCAGGATGCATTCTTTAACTCAAGGATAAACACCAGTTTTAAAATATATGGCAGAATGCATACTTTCCTAAAAGGGAAACAAATTGGTCATATATTTGAAGTGCTGGTCAATCTTTTACCAAGTGGTAAAAGTGTAACACCAAGAGTGATTAAGAGCAAAGATAAACACCTATCTGCATAACTTTAAATTAGATACCCAGCTTTCATCATATAAATATCCTCGATTTCAAAGAGCACCCATGCCCCTGTCTTTCTGCTTGTCTGTCTGTCTGCCTGTCTATCTGCTTGCTTACTCAGTCAATAAAGTTCTGCCATGTTTTCTTAGCATTGTGACTTGTCCAGAAATTCTTAACCAGTGATAGAAATCAAGGACCCTAACGGAAGAGTCCTTGCTTTTAAAGGGAAATTTCACAAACCCTCACCTTCATCGGGTGACAGAATCTCTTGATACAACTGCCTGACTTATTTGATGGTGTCTGTAAATGCACACTGAGTCTCTTTACTCGTATATATCATTTTTCCTTTAGAATTTCTGACTGAAGAATTTCAAATGATCTGACTTTGAGTTCACTAATTCTTCTGTTTGATGAAGTCAATTCTAAGGCTCATTGTTGACTTTTTAGTTCAGTTTAATTATTTTTCCACTGCAGAATTTTGGTTTGGGTCATTTTCATGATGGTATCCCTTTGCTGATATTCTCATTTTGTTCATATTTTTCTGACTTAATTTTCTCTCTGTGTTAACTTCTAGATTTAGTATCATTTTGGTAGAATTATTATTTTGAATCTGTTCTTTTTTTGTTGGTCCTGGGGTTTGAACTCTGGGCTTGGGCACTGTCCCAGAGCTCTTCAACTGAAGGCAAACACTCTACCTCTTGAGCCACAGTGCCACTTCCGGTTTTCTAGTGGTTTATTGGAGATCAGAGTCTCATGGACTTTTCTGCCTGGGCTGGCTTTGGACCGTGATCCTCAGATTTCAGCTTCCTGAGTAGCTAGGAGTATAGGCGTGAGCCACTGGCACCCAGCCATTGAATCTGTTCTTATATTACTCATAGATCCTCATTTTTCAGGGTTGTTTATTGGGGATTTATTTGTCCCTTTCATCCTGTCACATTTCCCTGATTCTTTGTGCTAATTTAGTTTGGCTGTATCTGAAGAAGTAGCCAGCTCTTCCAGTCTGTATGAGCTGGCATTGGGATTGGAAATGCTTTCACTAACTGGACTAGTTGGAGATTCTAGAAGCTCCAGAATCCTTTCATATGAGTGTGTGAATTCTTCTGCTTTTCTCTTCTGAAGAACTCACAGGGTATGTGTCTTTTCCTATTCTTCAAGAGAAATACAGGCTTTGAGAATAAGCTGTGTTGTTTCTTTACAGAGGTGTAGGCTTCAGGAACTCTACAAGATAGAAATACATTTAGCATTGACTTAAGGTCAATTGTCTATGATACTAAGTGTCCCAATACCGATGTATTTGAAAGGTATATTTATATAACTTCACCAACTGTCCAAATATCTACCAGACTTTTAGAGCTACCTCTATTGTTCAATGATTCTTTTTTGAATTGACAGGTTTAATGATTACCCTCTATTGATAAGAAGCTTAGCAATAAGATAAGAAGCTCCAAATACAATTGACATCAAGGTTTTTATTTTAGATAGTCAAATTTAACTCTCCAATTATGTTTTGTGGGGGTGGTGAGCATTTAAAATTGACTGTCTTTGAGAAAATTACAATGGGAGCTGTCACTCCAAAGAAGTGGAATACCTGAGATTTCAAAGGTCTCTTTGATCATCTAATGAAAACTTGTCATTTCATTTTGAAAAAGTAATTAAGACATGTGAAGTTGGATTACTGCTTAAAATAAGAAGGCATAATTGTAATAATGGAAACTTATGAATCTTATTAATAATTTGTGTCTCTTTTACTATGTAATATTGTTTGTTTGTTTTTTACAGGCCTTATTCCACCAAATCCTTTGAACTGCTCAGGCCTACTGTTTTCAAGTAGATTGCAGTAGAGTACTAGTCACAACTGTAGCAAATCAGAATCCATTTACTGAGTTGAAGCCTTTGAATCAGATAATGCGCCTCAAAACCAAAGTCCTACTGAAAGGAAATGAAAAGTCGTGGGCTTCCAGCAATTAGGAGAATAAAACACATAGTATTAAAACATATCTATATAAATTAAAATAGTCTCAGACTAGAAAAAATGAAGTGCTGTGAAAATGTGAAAATCCAACAAAACCAGTGGCTTACAAATTAACTATAACTAGAATCCAAAGGAAATTTCTAAACCATAAGAGCTGATATCTCCACAGTCCTATACTACAGAAGACCCAACATTTCAAATTAGAGTTGTCTGTTGCAATCTGACTTGATTTAACTGTTTTGTGGTTTTCAATGAGAGGAGGGCTAGGAACAAAGGGATAATATGCAATTAACTGAAATTAGTCTGAGCCTGTTGTTTCTTCCCAAGATTGAAAACTGCATAGAAAACCAGTCTCAGTTTCTAAAGGGTAGATCAATTACACTTTCCATTCTAAGAAAAATATTTTTGCTTCCTCATATGACATCTTCACAATAAACTTCGAAAATATTTATCTTCAAATAAATTTCTAAAAGAAAATGTCTAAAATATTTTTATTTCATTTCCAGTTTGAACAGCTGAACCTTGCACTCCAGAGAACATTGGCAAAACATAAAATAAAAGAAAGCAGGTATGTTAAACCATTTTAGTTGGGTGACTTCCCTTCCCCCCAATTTTGGTAACTACTATAGGTAAAACAAACAGCTAACAAAAAACAAGTCATGGGAGATCAGTTTCATTGACTTTTATCACTACATATTGGAATGACAGAAATGGAAATGAGTGTTATATCTGCTACTGATTTGAAAGTAAGTGCATTTACTTTTCATATTTTATGGAAGACTAAACTTGGGTTCATCAAAAACATTAGGGATTCTCTCAGTGTTTAGATGACAGAGCTGAATTCATTCAGAGTTTGAGTTCTGAAGCCAGCTTCTATACACTGCTGCTCTGCAGATTGCATCGACTGTTCTTAATTATTATTAATAGTAATGTATTCATGTTTATTATTTTTAAGTAGTTGCACAAAGGGGTTTCAATCTGACATGTCAGTCAAGTGATCAATGTCATCCCTTTCATCATTCTCTCCCATCTTTCCTAACCCCACTCATCACCTCAGTTTATCTTCTTCTATTTTCACCTATGTGCATTGATTTTTTTTGGTGGGGGGGCAAATTCAACCACCCTTCCTCTCTTCATTTATCTATACCTCCCCCTTGATCTCAAAGCCCCAATCCCCCAGCAACATATGCTCCAGCTTCCTGGTATTCATTTCATTATGTAAATTTGTTGTTTAAAGGGGTCACACCATTGGAATTCTCCCCTGCAGATACCATACTTTCATTATGTGTATGTATACACATGATCCTGTTTTTCCCTCCTAAGGTGTGAGGTGTAAACTACTCAACTGCTGACAAGGCATGAATTCCCCCAAATCAGGACTTATTTCTTGTCTGCAAATATTACCAGAATCCAAAAAAGAACCAGTAGGCACTCCGTTCTGACACCCATACTTCTATGTGGGGAGCTTTCAGCTACCTAGTCAGGAAAAGGGGGTGAGAAAGGTGGACTCTGAGGCTGTGGAAGAAGCTAATTCTTAGAGAAGCAGTCCAGTATTCTCATTGGTTGCATTGGTGAATATCAACTTTGTACTTTTACTTTTTACTACTTATTTTGTACTACTATTTTTTAGTGTTTTAAGATTTCCTCTAAAAATATTCCTAAAGAGATAGACGATGACTTTTATAAAGATCTGATGGTTAGTTTCTCAAATATAATTTGGCATCTTTACTGTTTGGAGGTGGGTAACTTGATTGGCTAATAACTAATAACTCAATTTCCTAAAATTGCAAAAAATAGTTAATTTGTAAATGATAGAATATATATTTGCATTCAAATCTGTGGACTAGAGCAGTAGAATATTGTACTTCATTACCACCATTTATGTATTTTATTTTGTTTTTTTCACATTGAATTTTATTTTATTTTTAAAATTATCTTCAAGTGTTGTATACAAAGGTTTCAATTGAACATGTCAGTTTGTGAGTACAGTACATCTTGATCAATGTCACCCTTTTCCTCATCTCCCCAGACAAATTGAGAAGAGAGACAGGGTTCGGAGTAATTAAGGAGAACAGTGTATTTTATAAATGTATTCATCTGGCTCCTATTCATGAGTAGATAATCTGTCCTGGGGATTATCTGTGCTGAATTTTCCTTGCTGACAAACTGGTCCCAGACTTGCAGGCAGTAGGACCAATCCAAGAAGGGGTCATGGCCAGAAGAAAGGAGTGTGAATTTAAGTCTGACAGAAGCTTTGCTTATAGGACTGATAGTAAAAGCCTTCCAGATCCCTCTGACCTTATTTTTCAGTTAGGCTGATAAGATAGCCACAAGTCACTCTTGCTCTGCTACTGGGCCTGCCTGCTTCTGTCCTTGGCTGCCAGTTCACTCAGCATTTATTCTCAGAGCTTTGTGTTCTGGAATGTTCTCCTAGCCACATACAGATATGCAGTAAGGATATTCTTGGGGGGGTGGGCAGGAGGGAACCTTTTACTACTTTCCTGATTTCTTAAAAAATGGATATACTGGTCATTTAGTATTATAGTGTGTGTGTGTGTGTATGTGTGTGTGTGTGTGAGAGAGAGAGAGAGAGAGAGAGAGAGAGAGGGAGACAGAGACAGAGACAGAGACAGAGAGACAGAGAGACTGAGAGTGCATTGCTTTGCTTGGATCTGAATATTACTTTATTTCTGTGCCTTTTCTTAGTTGGTTGGCAACTCAGCTACTACTTCTATTGTTTTCACCAACTGCTGAAAGCTTACAACCCACTACTTCTATTGTTTTCACCAACTGCTGAAAGCTTACAACCCCTCTGTATGCTGCAGATTATTTTCTGGGACTTGGAAAACAAACAAAAAACAATAATATCTAATATATTGAACACTGTCTTTGGCTAACAAATTGTCATCTTCCCTATCCATTTTCAACCTACCATGTTGCTTAGGGGAACAAATTTCAGTACCGCCTATCACATCTCTCCAGTATCTTCTGTTTGCTCAGATACATCCTTACCTTTATTGGAATCATTGTGTCATATTATTATGTGTGACATGGTGTGTGTGTATGTGTGTGTGTGTGTGTGACACAAGCAAGCATTTACTGATCACACACAAGTGCTCCTGCCTCCCTGTGTTTTCTTTTTTCTTTTTTTATTTATTTTGTACGGTTTTATTGCAAAAATGCCATACAGAGGGGTTATAGTTACATGAACAAGGTAATGAGTACATTTCCTATTGAACATTGTTGCCTCCTCCCTTGTATTCCCCCTACCATCCTTTCCTTCCCACCTCCACAACTACCCCCTGCCCAAAGTTTTAAAGTTCATTTTCTTTTTTTTTCTCAAAATGGCTTTTTTTTAAAAAAAAATTATCTTTAAGTAGTTGTACAAAGAAGTTCCAATTCTACAAAACAGTATATGAGTACAAAGTGTCTTACAACATTGTCACGCATCTCTCTTAACCCATCCCTTCTCTCACTTTTTTTCTTTAATTGAGATTAGGTGATTACATAAATTTCACATATTTCACAGTATTGTGGAATAGTGATACTTAGAGTCACAAATACATTTTAACGTTCACAAGGTAAATTGTCATTATCCTGGTCTATACAGAATCCTATGAGCTTTGACAATACAAGTTATTTTTTCCACATCTCCCTGTGTTTTCTTTTCTTTTCTTTTCTTTTCTTTGAGTCCAGTCATGGAGTCTGAACTCTGGGCCTGGGCACTGTCCCTCAGCTCTTCAGCTCAAGGCAAGTGCTCCACCACTTGAGCCACAGCGCCACTTCTGGCTTTTTTTTTTTTCTTCTGCTTATGTGGTGCTGAGGAATCAAACCCAGGGCCTCAGGCATGCAAGGCAAGAACTCTACCACTGAGCCACCTTCCCAGCCCCTCTCCCTGTGTTTTCTGAAGGCAAAGGGGAGAAACTTAGTTTGCTCTACACTCTGTGTTGCTTAAAACAACATACTCAGCTCTGCTTTTTCTCCTACTATAGTTGTTAAGTTACCCACGTAGTGTGAAGAAGTTTGCTCTTCAAAAAGAATAGAACTTGCTTAAATGAAAGGGAAAAAATTCTAAAAATGTATTCATATCAATAAATATCTCACAAAGGATTTAAGGATCTCTGAGATCCAAACTGGATAAAATATCATTTAGTTATTTTCAACCCACTCAACTCACAGAACATATATATGCCTTGTGTTTTAAAAAATTATAAGCAGTATGTCTTTATGTGATAAAACAGTATGTTGATCAATTTCCTTCCTGAAAATAGTTTCTTTTGAAATATAACATGCATCACATATTACTGAAATGTTGAAAATGTACATGAATCTTTCCTATGAGAATGGCTTATTAGTGGCAAATCACATAAATAAGAGAACATTGGATGCCTTTTAATAGACTTGAATAGTTGGACAAATTTGGTAATTATCAGTCATCATGATGAGAAATTTTCATAAAAATTAGGCAAAGTTGAGTCTTCAACTTGTTCATTTGAAATGATTGAAACCTGTCAATTAAAACATATTGTATCCTGTTACCAATATCCAAGATATGAGAACAAGCTCAGACTTTGGCTATTAATTTTTTATACAAAACTCAGGATAAAAGCTGAAGGCAATGATATCTGAGATGTAAATATAAAGTCCTAAGCTTTTATGAGAGCAAAAACTACTCTATTTGTTTTAGGGAAAAACAGCGTGTTTTTAATTTGATCATGTAAGTTAAATTACATTATGCAGGGTTTTTTCTCTTAGTTGGATGATTGGAAAACCCTTAGGATTTGAGGATATATTGCCATACTTTTTTTTGTTTCTTCAAAAATAATTTTGGTGCTGGAAATGGAACCCTGTGCTCCTACCAGTGAAATAAGTACTTTAAAACTAAGGTATCTCATCTCCCCAGCCTCACCAACCTTTTGAGCAGCTCACTCTCCTATTTCTGTCCAGAAGAGGTTTGCTTCAGTACAGGCTTGAGTAAAGTAGACATCAAAGGCAAATGTGACTTTCTAATAATGACTATACATCGCTTTATATCTACTGGATGTTTTCAACATTGTTTTGGACTGAATAAATCATTTTATCTTTCTCTTATAATTGCTGGTCAAAATTTTCTTCTACAAAACTATCCAACAGCAGGGCTGTATATTAATCTGAACTTTTATATTGATCTGAATTTTTAACATTCCTTATCAGTTTATAATGAAAAATATTGGATTATTTCCAGGAAACCCTTGGAGAGAGAAGACTTTGAAAAAACAATTGCCGAACAAGCAATTGCAGCAGGTAATCAAATTTTTAAGTATGTGCGGTTAGAAAATATAACCCATGCCTGTAGAACTAATATTCTCCAAAAATATTCATATTTACTTCTAAGTGACTGCCAGTATGAAGTATTCAACATATGTGTTATGTTAATGTAAAGAGTAACTGTATTTTTATACTACATGTTTTTGTGTGAGCTCAAACATTTCCTCTTTGAATCGTTGTTTATTTGCTAAGAAGTAGATAAGCCTGAGTGGGAATCTGACTAACAGACATTCACAGGCTTTGGTGCTGAGCCTAAATGTCGCTCATTCAGACATGAAAAATTCTGCTCAACAAGATAAAAGAAGGTTTTGAAAGGTTGAAGACAACCATGGGAACATGGTTAGCAGTGTTCTCACATTAATAATTACCCTGAGAGAAAAAAAATAGATGAGAAACTTTGCTGTGCTCACTCGTTAAATGCCTGGGTACCTGGACCAAAGCACTCCATCCTTTTGAAAGTACTCATTGCTCAGAATTAAAACAAATCAAGTGTTTTGGGCTCCTTTCTCTAATCTGAGCCGTGCAGGAAGCTGAGATCTAAGGATTGTGCTTTTACACTAGCCTTGGCAAGAAAGTTTGGAGACCCTTATCATGAATTAACCACCAAAATGCCAGAAGTAGAGCTGTGGCTCAAGTGGTAGAATATCATCCTTGAGGTAAGGGACAGTGTCCAGGACCCTGAGATGAAGCCCAAGTATTAGCACAAGAAAAATTATTATAACAGTAACAATGGCTAATTTACATTGAGATACTATTAAATCTCCATATATTATAATATTATCCTTGAGGATTGTATTATTTTCCCATATATTATAGTGAAACATGTGTGTATCCAGAGTGTAAAGAATAAAAGAAGTTTGGAGTCAAGAGCAGTAGCAGTAGCAGTAGTAGTTTATTTAGGCCAGCCCTGGGGAGGGGGGTAACAATGTTTCACAAGGAATGTACTCATTACCTTACTTAGGTAACTAACCCTCTGACATCACCCTTACAATAAAATCAAATTAACTTTTTAAAAAGAAAGAAATGTGTTATATTCAACCATCTTTTAAAATTAATTGTGAGGTTTGCTAGATAGATGCTGGTAGGTAATGCTTATATTACTAGCTACTCAGGAGTTTGAGACCCTGGGATCACATACTCAGGAGTCTGAGACCCAGTGAATCATGGTTCAAAGCTAGCCTGAGCAGAAATGTTACTAATCAGCAAAAACAGCTGGATGTGTGGCTCAAGTAGTACAAGCCAGCCACTAAGGAGAAAGCCAAATTAGAATGAGATGTCCTGACTTCAAGCCCTTATACTGATCTATACACACACAAAAAAGTAACTACTTGAGGCCTTTTACTATGTTGATAAGTTAAATATATTGGTATTGGATTTGGGTTGGAACTGTTCTTATAATAAATAATGAGTCTCAATACTAAGTCTCAATTGAGAATAGGTGAACAGCACAGTGCTCCCAGCTGACATGTTTGACTTGACTGAAGTGTGCTCTACCTTCCAGGGGTTCCAGTGGAAATCCTCAAAGCATCTCTGGGAGAAGAGTTATTCAAGCTGTGTTATGAGGAAGACCAGCATATTCTGGGTGTAGTAGGTGGTACCCTGAAAGACTTTCTGAACAGCTTCAGCACCCTTCTGAAGCAGAGCAGCCACTGCCAAGATGCAGAGAAGATGGGCAGGCTAGAAGATGCCTCTATCCTCTGCCTGGATAAAGATCATGAGTTCTTAAATGTTTACTATTTCTTCCCCAAAAGGATCACATCCCTCATTCTCCCAGGCATCATTAAGGCTGCTGCCCATATATTGTATGAAAGTGAAGTGGACGTGTCCCTCATGCCTCCATGCTTCCGAAGCGACTGCACAGAATTTGTCAATCAGCCCTATTTGCTGTACTCTGTTCATGTGAAAAGCATCAAGCCATCCTTGTCTCCAGGCAAACCCCAGTCCTCACTGGTGATTCCCACATCACTCTTCTGCAAGACATTCCCATTCCACTTCATGTTTGACCGAGACCTGACCATCCTTCAACTTGGGAATGGCATCAGAAGGCTACTCAACAAGAGGGACTTGCAAGGGAAGCCAAGCTTTGAAGAATACTTTGATATTCTGACTCCCAGAATCAATCAAACCTTTAGTGGGATCATGACAATGTTGAATATGCAGTTTGTCATACGAGTGAGAAGATGGGATAACTCTGTGAAGAAATCTTCCAGGGTAAGGAAAGTAGAACGTTATCTCTAATGTAAGATAAGTCACTCCTTAGCTAAGGACCTGAAATCAATTGTAAAAATATATGTATGAATCACGTCAAATTCTTTGATATTTAAAACTACTCTAAAAGGGGTGATTCTGATCAAGATACACTGCACTCATAAATTGACATGTTGAATTAAAACTCCTTTGTACAACTACTTACAGATAATTTATAATAACTATAATAATAGTAAACCAACTCTAAAATATTTTTTAGACTGGGATAGACTTAAAACAAAATCATTCTAGTATTTGTTTGCTTATTTATTTAGATGATTACTTCACAAATGTTTAGTGAAGGCAGTTGCCTTTTTAAAATTATAATGAGTTATAACTACATTAGATAATTGTTTATATTAAAACTTCTCAATTATTTTCAAATAGCTTACTTTGAATAATAAAAAGTATTGCTTTGCAATAAACAAGCAGAACTTCATGTGGAAGAAAATAACTAAGTAGAATTTTAATCAGTATTGATTGCTATAGAATGGGAGTTATGAGCAGGTTGGTATTTCATGATAGAGAATTTTGGTAATCATTCAGTGTTAGGATAGAATATTCACTAGTACACTACTATATTGAAAACAAAGCTAAGGGAGAAGGAAAAAGCGCAGTTTGTTTTAAGAAAGAAGATGGAAATAGCCTAGTAGAGCATGATAGTGAATCCCAGCCACTCAGAAGCCAGAGATATGAGGCTCACAGCCCAAGGCCTTTTGGATGACAACATGAGAGCCTATGGAGAAAGAACATCTATAAAGCAATATAACAGGGGTGTGGCTTAATGGTACAATGGTAGCCTAGCAAGCTCAATACCCTGAGTTCAATTCATAACTCCCTCCCAAAAAATGAGAACTTCATTATTACTTTATTACAAAAATTTTCTATTCTAAGTGAAAGATGTTCATTGTAGCAAAACTGCCAAAAGCATTAGCTTTCACAACTACTTCTGTCATTAATGATGCATATTAATCCCCCTTTAATCCTGGTTTGTTTTTCTGTTCCCATTTTGGGGCTAGCTATTGTCTATGTGTGTAAGGCAAAACTGATATAGGGACAAGGCGTCTCCAGCTAAGGCTCAGAGAAGCCAATCTGTGGGCCACTCAGCACAAAGAAATAATAAGTAAAAATAAAAAATAAAACAATCTCTGAAGTTTGACAAAGATCTATATACATTTTTAGAGGCTATACAGAATGCCATTTTCTTTCTTTTTAAAAAATTGTTATTGTAAAGGTGATGTACCAGAGGGGTTACAGTTATTTAAGTGAGGTAATAAATGCATTTCTTTTTGAACAGTGTTACCTTTTTACTCACTATCTCCCAGTTTTTCCCTTCTACTCCTCCCCACCATATATTGTATCCTTCATTTTCAACACAATGTCTAGTAAGTATCACTGCTGCTTTTTTTCAACCTTTGTCCCAGGATTTCTGTGCTCCCCCACCCTTTACTATCCACAAAACTTAGAAACAAGATAAAAAATACAGAAAAAAACAAAAACAGAGACAAAGGGAAAACAAAAACAAAATAAAATCTTGTTCAACCACTCTGAACACTTCTGGGCATTTATTCAATAGACCACAAACATGGCCACACTAAACCCACCAGCACAACTATGTTCATTGCAGCATTGTTTACCATAACCAAGACATGGTATCAGCCTAGATATCCCTCAGTGGATGAATGGATCAAGGAAATATACATGCAATGGAATTCTACTCCTCCATCATAAAGAATGATATGGTACCATTCATCAGGAAAAGGAAAGACTTGGAAAACATTAAATGAAGGAAGCCAGACCCAAAGAAACATAGGTTGCATGGTTTCCCTCATTGGTTGTAACTAGAATGCACTTATAAGTCTAGAATGTTTACTTATAAGTCTATAACTAAACACACTGGATGGTACAAAACAAAAAAATACACTTATACACGATAAATTATACAGCACTTTAGATATCACACAGTGTGACCAAAGGAGGATATTCTTAGAAGCCAATCACAAAGACTCAATAGCTATGTGCATATGATCATACAAAATGATGTTTATAGAAATGAACAAGAAATTTAGACAAGAAGATTTTGGTTATTTTACCTTTTGGTTTTTGTTTTCTGTTTTTATTTTCTCCTTTTGTTGCTGTTTTTTTCTGTACCTCTTGTCTTAGATATAAGTTTGTCTGTTTTGTCTGTTTTTGGTCATAGAAATAGTGAAACAAAGGTGAAGAAATGAAGCAGTGATACTAGACACTATGTTGAAAGTGAACACTACAACTTGTTGGGGGCTTGGGAGAGAGAAACTGGAAGAAAATGAAGGAAGAAGGGACATTGTTCAAAACTAAATGTACATTACCTGACCTATGTAACTGTAACCCCTCTGTACATCACCTTTATAATAACAATAAAAATGGACTCCATTTCTTGGAGTCCATTTCCATAAATATTATTTTATATGATCATATGCACATAGCTATTGTGCCTTTGTAACAGGATGCCATTTTCAAAGTCCTGCTCTACTTTAACCAGTCTCCTGAATTGGGCTTTTTCTTCCCCAAATTGGTTTAAATACATGTTTCACATTCAGTTTCATTGTTGTTCAGCTGCTTAGATAGTGCTCTGCTTTAGCCACACCCCTACTCTGCTTTTATCTTTGGATATAGAGTTTCATGGACTTCAGTCCTCTGGATTTCAGCCTTCTGAATAGCTAGGATTACATGCATGAAAAATGGGCACTCAGCCATGGTTACTTTTGCTTCATGGCTGTAATGAATACATATATGCACACTGTTCTCACAGCTGCCAGTAAATCTTCTCCTCATCTGGATGAGAACTTGAAGCCTCATGGCTGTCAAGCCCCCTGGTTACATCTCTCTGGATTGTTCATTTGTTGACTAGATGCTTAAGCTGAAATAGAAATAAACACAAGACCTCTCTAGACAAGGCTCTGTGAAGTCCATTGTAAAATGACTTCTGAAAGACAGCTTTATGGGCCTCAGCACAAAGAAACAAGACAAAAACAAAACAACAACACCAAAAACACAAATAAAAAAACTTTCTACAGGTACTTTTTACTTTTTACTTCCTACATATGCCAGGGGAGAAGAAGGGAAAATAGAGGGCACGAAAAGAAAAGAGAGAATAGCAAGGAGGGCAGAAGATTAAGGAGGAAAGAAGGAGACTGGGAGAAACTATGGGAGGGAAGGAAGGAACAAAAGGAAAGAGAAGAAGGACAAAAAGGAAGAAAGGGAGAGGAGAAAGAAAGATAAAGAAATAGAGAAGCAGAGAGATAAGGAAGGAAGGAAAAGAGAAGAAGGGGAGAACCCCATTTTTTCCCCTGAGACTTAATAACTATCAAACATGTCTAGTATGAAGTGACAGGACAGGAAAGAAGGTAGGAAGGAAGGAAGGAAAGAAGGAGGGAAGGAAGGAAGGAAGGAAGGAGAAAAAGTAAAAGAAAGTGAAAGAAAAAAGGAAGGAAACTAGGTGTTGGTGTCTCATATTTGTTATCCTAGCTACTCAGGAATCTGAGCTCTGAGGATAATAGTTCTAAGCCAGTCTGAGAAGGAAAGTCCATGAGATTCTTATTTCTAAGTAATTACTCATTTCCAATTAATCCAAAATGCCAGAAGTGGGGCAGTGGCTCAACTGGTAGAGTACTAACCTTGAGTAAAAAAGGTCAAGGACAGTACTAGGACCCACAGATTGCTATGAGTAACCCTTGAAGCAAGATGTTTGCATTCATTATAATAATAATTTCTGTGTAATGTCTGTTCTAATATATTCTTTAAATGGCTGCATGCATATTGGAACTCATAGCAAACTAAAACAGTTAAACAACAACAACAACAACACAAGCACAAAGGGCTGCTGTATCTAACTCCTCCCATCTGAGAAAGGTGTTGGGAACTTGCAAAATCCACAGCAATTGGTTTTCCTTTGCTTTACAGGTTATGGATCTCAAAGGCCAAATGATTTACATTGTTGAATCCAGTGCCATTTTGTTCTTGGGGTCACCCTGTGTGGACAGATTAGAAGATTTCACAGGACGCGGCCTCTACCTGTCTGACATCCCAATTCATAATGCATTAAGAGATGTGGTCTTGATAGGTGAACAAGCTCGAGCTCAAGATGGCTTGAAGAAGAGGCTGGGGAAACTGAAGGCAACTCTTGAACATGCCCACCAAGCCCTGGAAGAGGAGAAGAAAAAGACAGTCGATCTGCTGTGTTCCATCTTTCCCTGTGAGGTGGCTCAACAGCTGTGGCAAGGACAAGTTGTGCAAGCCAAGAAGTTCAATAATGTCACCATGCTTTTCTCGGACATCGTGGGGTTCACTGCCATCTGTTCTCAGTGCTCGCCACTGCAAGTCATCACCATGCTCAATGAGCTGTACACTCGCTTTGATCAGCAGTGTGGAGAGCTGGATGTCTACAAGGTAGGGGAGGACAGCGCAATGACAATTTTATAGGTAAAAGTCACTGGGAAAAAAGTGCTATGCTCTGACCCTGCATTGCAATGCAAATGCAAAGCTTTCTCTGCTGGGTTACTCTGACTATATCCGGGGAACAGTCATTGTGTACTAATTATGTGGGTGTTCTCCAGCCAGAAATAGCTCTGAATCTGCTCTGAAACAGAGCTAATTGTTTCAGGAAAGGACTATCCCATTATCTTCTCAAAGAATAGGAGAGAATGGAGGGAGAATAGGCTGAATAAAAGAACCAGGAAAACATGGTGTTTAACAGTCAATGGACCAACCATTTCACTGTGGTAACTGAGCTGGATTATTATGCAAGAGTATTTCAATGAAGTCCTTTATTCTTTGAACATATAAAAATAAAGAATTAGAATCAACCCAGATGCCCCCTCAGTAGATGAATGGATCAAGAAAATGTGGTATATATACACAATGGAATTCTATGCCTCCATCAGGAAGAATGACATTGCCCCATTTGTTAGGAAATGGAAAAACTTGGAAAAAATTATATTAAGTGAAGTAAGCCAGGCCCAAAGAAACATAGGTCCCATGGTTTCCCTTATTTGCAACAAGTAGTATATGTCTGAGTCAAGCAGAAAAGGTCAGAAAAGTTGATGTTAGGGAAATGAACCCTAAGATATGTATTCAAATGTTTGTTTTTCATGCGATTGTTTCTAACATATTTATAAGATTATTTCTTTGTTGCTTTGTATGCCCCTCCCCCATGATATAACCCCTGCTTTTACTTTATATGATGTTAGTATAATTTGTGGAGGGGAAGGGAAAACACAAAGCATTAAAACAGGGATACAGGTGGACCCATTGCAACAATAAGATGTACAAGAGGTTATGTCGAAAAATGAACTTTACAACTTTGGTGTGGGAGGGGAGGGGTGGAGGAGGATTTGTTGTGGGGGGGGGGGGAAGGGATGGGAAGGGGAAACAAAGGAGGAGGCTACAATGCTTGATAAGAAGTGTACTCATTATCTTGCCCATGTAATTGTAACCCCTCTGTACAGTATTTTCACAATAAATAAAGAATGACTATTATAAACCTTTTTTTCATGCAGATGAGTTCAGTGCAGAGCTTACATGATAATGCTCATAGCCAGTTAACAGAAATCAAAATCACATATTTAAGCCAGTTTTACAGCTTTGCATGGGGCAGAGACAAATTCAAATCTTGTCCTTTACTTTTCTTGTTTTGTAACTGAGTAAGTGCAATTACATTTCTTTTTTTTAATTAAATTTGTTTTTTATTATGAAAATACTGTACAGAGGGGTTACAGTTACATGAGCAAGGTAATGAGTATATTTCTTATCCAGCATTGTTGCCTCCTCCTTTGTTTTTCCCCTACCATCTCATCCCTCCCACCTCCTCAACTATACCCTTTCTGCCCCCCCACCTAAATTGTAAAGTTTGTTTTTCAACATAGCATCTTGTACATCTCAATCTGTATCCTTATATAAACGTTTTGTTTTTCCCTTCCCCTCCACAAATTATACCAACATCAAATACAGTGAAAACAGGGGTTATACCAGGGGGCAGGGACATACAAAGCAACAAAAACATCACTTAGTACCTTATAAATACGTTAGAAACAATAGCAAGGAAGAAAAAAACCACTTGTGTCCCTATCTCGGGGATCATTTCAATTAACATCACCTTATCTGAGCTTTTCTGCTTGTCCCAGACATATGCTAGTTATAGCAAATAAGGGAAACCATGAGACTTATGTTTCTTTGGGCCTGGCTTACTTCACTTAATATAATTTTCTCTAAGTCTTTCCATTTCCTAACAAATGGGGCAATGTAATTCTTTACAATGGAGGCATAGAATTCCATTGTGTATATATACCACATTTTCTTGATCCATTCATCTACTGAGGGGCATCTGGGTTGGTTCCATATCTTAGCTATAGTAAATAATGCTGCAGTAAACATAGATGTGCTGGTAGCTTTAGTATGGTCTTGTTTGTGATCATTTGGATAAATGCCCAAAAGTGGGGTTGCTGGGCCAATTAAGTGACATAGACTGTCTAGTTGGATTAAAATGCAATTATCTTTCTAGAACAGAGAAAGCAATAATCACACAGAGTTTATGTGTGTAACACACTCTGTCCTATGTTTCACAGACAGAATTGTAAAGATTGTGCTAGATAATACACATTGTGGATTAGGCATCCAGGACTTAGTGGCCAGATGATGTTAGAGGCTGAGATAATGTAGAAACCCTCTACTCCAGGCATTGTATAACCCTCTACCCAGTCATTGTATCTCTTTTCCTTTTTAATGTAGCAGTTGTTAGGAGGAAAGCTAATGAAGAAATTTTAAATTCTACCTACTTCTTTAAAACTAATTTTTTAGCTGAATTCTCATGGTTCAAACCTGTAATTGTAGCCATTTAGGGGCCTGACATCTGAGGATCATGATTCAAAGCCAGACTTGGCAGACAATTATAAGAACTATTTCCAATTAACCAGCAAAAATCTATCAATGAGGTGGCTCAAGTTGTAGAGTGCCAGACTTACTCAATAAAGACAAGGGAGAGTGTGAGGCCTTGAGTTCAAGCTCTAGTCCTAGCACCAAAGGGGAAAAACTTTGGCATTTTACAACTGTAAGTTATTTTGCCTTGTTTTATAGGTCATGATATTAAGTGAATGGCATTAATCTCATTGGTCTGACTTAAATCATAAGCTCAACTTGTCACATAGCAATCTGGCACTTCAGGGTGTAGCCCAGCATGAAATAAATTATTGAGGAGGAAACAAATATAATTTATGTTTTGTTTCTTTAGACATACTAAAATCAAAACATTCTCTTAAAAACCTTCTAACAGGAAATTCCAGAAAGAGCCATGACTCCCTTGGGAAGAAGAGAAAAGAAATCCCTGTGTAATTATAGATAAAATAATTGGCTTCAGTTAGGTTAAGTGTTATGGCCTCCTGTGGAATTTACTATGTTTATTTGTAGCTGTCTTTTTTTTTCTTTTTGTCTCTTGAGAATGTCTCCTCTCAGAACTATAAGAAGGAAGTTACTTTTTTTTTCTTCATTGGGAACCACTGTGATTACTAAAACAGAAACATCCTTCTTGCACTTTCAAATACCCTATTAAGGATTTTGAAACTGCCCTCCTCTCCTGCCAGGATGAAATTATAGAGCTCTCTGACTAATCCAACTGCATCTATCTGAATAGGACGTCACCTGCCCCCCAGACCTCATTTCCACCTTGTGGCCCTTTCCAAATTCATGTAAAAATACCTGGAGATAGCTGAAAGTAAATAAGAAGGGAACTTGGTCATGGATTCTGTTTAATTTATATATAGTTAATATTTATACTATATTATATATAGTATATAACCATCAGTGGTGTGATATGTTGAAGGATTGGTGGACTTGTGTCAAAGGAATCATCAATTTATTTCTTCCAGGATCTGATCATCCCAGGACTTTATTTGTTGTCATTTTCTTCCTATCAATATTATTTGGTTAGCACAAGTGGACAAAGTATGTAGGAGGACACCTCAACCTGTCCCCGTGAAGGAAGCCAAATTCTATTCAAGTAGGCACAAAATATTATAAGAGCAGAGAGAATAAATGTTTAGCTCCAAGTAGTTATGATGATAGGACTTCTCCAAAATAGTAATATATTCAGATGAGCTCATTTTATGAATTAATTGCTGGAAAAAATGCCTGAAAAAGCATCACTGCCTGTTTAGTTATTATTAGGCACTGGCCATACAGGAATGAACACAAAGATCCACTCAGAGTTCTTATGTATTCTCAGAGCCAGAAAAACAAGAACCAAATTCACAAGAAACTAATCGATGCAATATTTTCGAATTAAAGCAAGTTAAGAGTGAGAGAAATGTAAAGGTTTAAAGATGATAGCTCTTTGCAGAAAGTGGTTGAATAGAGCTTCCTAAAAGGTGATGTTTTACCTGGGTTTGAGGGAAACCACAGAAAAGCCAAATGGTTATTGGATAAAAGAATAGCAATGAGGGCAGATTTGGTTTGTCTAAGGGGTAGCAGGAAGATGATGACAGTAGAAGAACATGAGCAGGGGCAGACTTACAAGATCAAGTCAGATATTAGGAGACAGGCAGGCCCTTTTGAGGTTTTGTAAGATCCTTGGCATTTTCTCTGAGTTAATAGGGTAAAAGATAATAGGATGAAAGTCATTACTCAAGCTTTGTCTACCCCACCTTGCTTATTTTTATTCCTTTCTCATCCTCACCCACTCAAAAGGGAGTCCTATGATAGAGAAGATCCAATAAGGTACAATACATATCTGGGGAAGAAAAATGCAATTGCCTCAGAATGAGCAGATTTATTTGTAAATTTAAATTAATATGTAGCACTCTGTAACCAGTATCACATATAGATTAAAAGAAAAATGGTCTGTAACAATAGGATCTTTTGTATAATAATTTGAAATCCAAAAACCTTCCAAACTCATTGTACTTCTCTTATGATTTAACTTTATTTCTGTCCTTGTAATTAATATCTACATAGACACATAATTATTACTGTAAAATGCCCCAAAGTTCATAGAAAAACAATCTTTTGTATTCTGATGACATTTTGTGTCTTATTTGTACATTACACATTTTTCTATACTTATGTGCTACTTACTGAGGAGGTGATTTCATGCAAAAAAACACTATTTTTCTGGTGGGTAAGTGATTCTAGTATCATAAACAACTTATTATTAATCCTAAACATACCATTATATCATTTGTGTCTACAAATACTATTTTGTATCTTTGAAAGGAAGAGGATAATGGTGCGCTGAGTCAGTGGCAAGTGGAAGAAAAAGCCACTTGATGTTGTGTTCACAGGATTGTATTGCCCTCGTGCAGTATTGAAATAGGAGGGTTCACCTGATGGCACTCTTGAAAAGGGAAGTCACTGCTAAAAATATCAGATTTTACCTGTGCTTCCTGCTGTATGGTTCTTGATTTCTGCAAAGTGGCTTTTCTTAAGCTTTATTCTGAATATGTCCAATACATTATATGTCCAGGTGGAGACCATTGGTGATGCGTATTGTGTTGCTGGGGGATTACATAGAGAGAGTGATACCCATGCTGTCCAGATTGCCCTGATGGCCCTGAAGATGATGGAGCTCTCTGATGAAGTCATGTCTCCCCATGGAGAGCCTATTAAGGTATGATATATAGGGATGAGATATCATTAGAGCAAGAATTTATTAGTGGAGTATTGAGACACTAGATTACTGGTTGCAATTTAGCTGGAGAGAGCAAAATCTTCTCTAACTAGTTTAAGCAGAAAGAAATTTCCTAGAGCCTATCTAATGACTTAAGGAATACTGATATGACTGGAGAAGCCATTGGTAACCTGGGCTTTCAAAGAAATGTCTCCAGAAGTCACCTTGTGGAACCCTTACCTTTTCCCATGGTCTAGAAGCTGACTGCCTCATTGCCAAGGTAAGGAAAAAAACCATGCTCAGAAAACTGCTGCTTTAATCAGCAAGATAGAAATTCTACATTAGAGACCAACCTAAGATGTGTGCCTGAACAATGGAACCTCTCCTAAGCATTCTATAGAAACCCAGAAGTTCACTCACTCATAGAAATAAAAACATACATGCTCACAACAGAAAAGCTAGTCTTCGAAATTCCATGCAAGTGCCTCTGTTTCATCACATCTAAATGAATCTAGAAGGTCCCAGACAGTTAAGTTTCATTGCTTCTGGTAGAGGACTTTATAGTAATACAAATGTTGGCTATGAATCCAACAATATTTTCCAAGGTCTATAACACGGCAAAGTTTCATATTAGCTAGATCCCCAAAAGATGCCATAATGATCACAAGTAATCAAATGAACCTACGAGAATATGAGAATGACATAGTATAGTAGAATAGTATAGAATATAGTATAGAAGAATCCCTAACTGATGCCCTTCAAAAATGTAATCTTAAAAGGAGTGTAGGATTCCATTTGGAGACCTATGACATTTAGGAAGTAGAAAACGTGCGTGTAGTAATTTCAGGTTTAGCACTATCTTTCTTTAACCTTAACAGAAGCCATTTTTCTAAGCTGTCATGTCTATTTTTCTAAATCAACTGTATAATATAGTTCTCCAAATTTAGTGATGTGAAACCACAAATCTTTTATTAATGCATTATTCTGAGTATCAGGAATTTGTATAAATTGTAGGAGTGCCACTATGTCTTTGAAACAGAATATCTTCGATCTTAGCTGGGAAAAACCAAGTGCTTAAAGCAACTTGTAATAGCTGGGATCGTATTGCTCTGAGCAGGACATATTCCAACATGGCCACCTCTCTTAGTTGCCTAGTTCCTTTGTGAGGATGAACAGAAAGCTGGTACTCTGCTGGTGCTTTTACCTCAGGGTCTACAAGATGAGGCATGTCATTCTCAGAGTAGTCTCCCTCTTACCTGGGGACTCACATCCCAGTGAATAAGATAGGGTAAAGCAACACAGCATTTTATGACTTAACCTTGGACAGTACAGATCATTGATCAGAGCTGTCCTAAATCTAGACAAAAAAAAAAAATGGCTTGGACTCCATATCTAAAGGAAGAGTGTGAACTCATTTGCCAAGTGTATTTCAAAAGTATCACAACATTTCACTTTCCCAGAAAGTAAATATATCCAGACCATTAACAATAAGACCATTTAATTCTTCACAAATTAATTTTATGCTTAAGAAGTATGTATTGAGAAGAAAGAAATAATAACATGAGTGCAGTTATTTTTGAAAAGGTATTTTTAAAATGTTGGGAGAAGTATTTATTACTAGTTTTAAAGATGATATCAGAGTAATAACAGGTTAGCGTTAGTGATGTGTAAATTGATAAGTTAAATATAGAAATTTATGTGTCCTGGGAAAGAGCTGAGGGAGTTAGAAACTACTGGTGAAACATTTCAGGGACAGAGTTGAAGATTTGCTGAGCATCAGGAAAGTGTGGATATACATTGGACATTAAGACTCCTATAACCCTATCTTTTATAAAAAAAAAGATAAAGACATAGAAAATACACACTGTCAGTTACTAGTAGAGTTTGTCTTTGAATGTACATCTCCTAATACAAACTACATTACGGAACTTTTGCAGAATTCATGACATGACCTTTTGAAACATGAGCCTGGATGTCTCTAGCAGAAATATCTGAATTCATGAAATCAGCAGTAAAATTAGTCTGAACTGGCATCCTATATTTCTAAATTACATCTAAGCTACACAGACCATGACCTTTGTTTAAAGTGCACATACCTAATCAAACTTATGCAGATTTGGAAAATAGTGAACCCGATGCCTGATTGTCGTTTATAATATAAAATTTTGCTGTGTGTGGCAGTACTTCCTCTCAAATAATCAAGAAATCAGGTATGTTAGACAATCTCATTTAAAAAAAATCATCTCAGTGCCTCTCCAAATCATTCCTTGTTCTCAAACTTTTGCCCCAACACCTACCAAGCATACTGCAGTTTTTTTTGTTTTTGTTTTTATTTTTATTTTTGAGGGTCTGGTCATGGGGCCTGAACTCTGGGCCTGGGCATGGTCCCTCAGCTCTTCAGCTCAAGGCTAGCACTCTACCACTTGAGCCACAGCGCCACTTCCGGCTTTTTTTTCTTTTTGCTTATGTAGTGCTGAAGAATCGAACCCAGGGACTCATGCATGCAAGGCAAGCGCTCTACCACTGAGCCACCTTCCCAGCCCTGCAGTTTTATTTACATGGGTATAGATTATAGTCATTGGAATCAACAACTCCATTTTTCTTTTTTTCTGGTGTGTGTGTGTGTGTGTGTGTGTGTGTGTGTGTGTGTGTGTGTGTGTGTGTGTGTGTGGTTCTGGGGTTTGAACTCATGGCCTGGATGCTGCCTCTGAACTTGTGTGCTATAAGACTAGCACTTTACCACTTGAGCCACAGCTCCACTTTGGCTTTTTTTTCCTGATTAATTAGAGATAAGAGTCTCATAGATTTTCCTACCCAGGCTGGCTTTAAACCTCAGTCCTCAGATCTCAGCCTCCTGAGTAACTAGGATTACAGGCATGAGCCACTTGTGCCCAGTTTACAAAACTATTTTAAGTCAAAACATCTTTTAAAGTTTGGTACTGGAGAGCTTTAAACCTATCATATTAGCTGGCTGGGAAGCAGAGATCAGAAGGATCACAGTTTAAGACCCAGTGCTAAGAAAATGTTTATGACACCCTTTCTCTCTCTCCCAATGGCACACACCTATCATCCTAAGCTACATGGGATTCTGAGATTGGGAGGATCATAATTACAGAACAGCCTGAGCAAAAAATGTTCGTAAGGTCCCAGGTAAACAGGAAAGAAGACAAGATGCAGTGGATCACATCTTTCATCCCAGCTCCTGGCTAAGTAAGAAAGTATAAATAGGAAGATAACAGCCAACCTCAGAAAAAATGTGAGACTATCTCAAGATACTCAGAACAGAAAGGGCTAAAAGTACAGCTCAAGTAGCAGTAATACACATGTCTAAGAAGAAAGTAACTCTGAGTTCCAACCTCAGTACTGCCAAAATTAAGTCTTTTAAAAACTGTTTTTTTTTGTCTTCTTTTTCTTTTTCCTTTTCTGTTACTTTTTTCTTTTTGTTGCTAGCACTGGATCTTTGAAATCAGAACCTCATGCTCTCAGCTTCCTCCCATTCCCCTGCTCATAGCTGGCACTTCACTACTTGAGCCACTATTCCCATTCTAGCTTTTTGGTAGTTAATTGGAGACAAGAATAGATTTATCTGCCTAGGCTGGTTCCGACCTGCAAACCTCACATCTCAATCTTCTATGTAACTACGATTGTAGTAGTATTACACATGAGAGACACCTGCACCTGGTTATGTTTTTGTAATTGAGTGTGGCGAGAGTTGCTGCTAGAAGCATTTAGATCGGATTTTTCAGAAGCTGGAAGTGATTTTCTAGAGACATGGAACAATGTGTTCTTTTCTGTTTTCAGATGCGAATTGGACTGCATTCTGGATCCGTTTTTGCAGGAGTTGTTGGAGTTAAAATGCCTCGTTACTGTCTTTTTGGAAATAATGTCACCCTGGCTAACAAGTTTGAGTCCTGCAGTGTGCCAAGGAAAATCAATGTCAGTCCAACAACTTACAGGTAAAAACTGCATTAATACCTGAAGCCCATTGCTTTTATCTATATGTAGCTGTTGTTTCTCCCTATTGGTTTGTTGATTCTCCCTAACTCTCTTCTTCTTAGGGAATCTTATAAGAAAACGAAAAGAAAACAACCAGTCTTAGCCTAGTGCTGGTAGCTTATGCCTGTAATCCTAGTTACTCAGGAGGCTGAGATCTAAGGATAGTGGTTTGAAGCCAGCCCAGGCAAGAAAGTCTGGGCAAAAAAGTCCATGAGATTCTTACCTCCAATAAACAATTCAGAAAAAGCGGAAGTAGCACTGTGGCTTAAGTGGTAGAATGCTAGCTTTGAGGAAAAGAAGCACAGGGACAGCTCCCAGGCCCAGAATTCAAGCCCCAGGACTGGCAAAAAATTAAAAATGAAAAACAGAAAACAAAGATTAAAAAAATAGCTTTTAAACTACTACTTAGCCTTATGAAAAAGTTGTTATCCAATTATTATTTTTTGTTTGTTTATTGTGCCAGTACTGGAACTTGAACTCAGAGACTGGTGCTTTTCCTTAGCTTTTTCATAGTTCAACTTCCAGCATTTTAGTTCTGAATTGAATATAAAACTTTCATGGACTTTCCTACCTCAGCTAGCTTCAAATAGTAATCCTCAGATCTTAGTGTCCTAGTAGATAGGATTATAGGCATGAGCCACCAGTACCTATCTCCAATAGTAATTTTTAACAGGCTTCACATCCTTTGTCATTCTTCATTAAAAAGCAATTATAGGCCAGTACTGGTGACTCACAACTGTAATCCTAACTAATCAAGAGGCTGAGAACTAAGGATCACAGTTTGAAGCCAGCCCAGGCAGGAAAGTCCATGATACTCTGATCTCTAACTAACCACCAAAAAGCTTGAAGTAGAGCTATGGTTTTAGTGGTAGGGAACAAGTCTTTAGCCCAAAACCTCAGGGATAGCACTCAGTCCCTGAGTTTAACCCCTAGGACCACCACCACCAAAAAAACAAAAAAAGCTCTTATAAATGCTCTCAGTTTATCAGTAAGCATTTGATATGTTATATCTAATGCACTGAGGTGCAATTCTAGCAGTAACAACACAGAGGTAGTATATTGTTAACACAATTTATGGAACATATTACCAATAAAACTGTCATTATTCAAGTACAAAATATATGTCTAGTGTCTACAGGTTGCTAGTACTCTAACTGTCAGTGTACTGGAATATTCCTGTGAACTCTTCAAGTCAAATAATTATATACATAGATTCCCAGTACTCACACAAGGTTTGTACTTATTTACAGTTTAATTCTAAAGGACATACATCAGGACTAACCACATGAAACATGAAGTCTGGAGAGCCCCAAATGCCCCTAACTGAGCTCCTTTTCAAAGCCTTCTCTCCTTGTCCAGTGTCAGGCTGGCTCAGAATGCCAGCCTTCCGATTACTTGGTTGATAGCTCTGGAATCCTGACCCCATTCTGGGTCATGTCATTACTTCAAACCCAGGTAGGACCCAAAGGGCTTATGAAAAATAACGATATGCCTATAACTTGGAAAATTCCCAGGATTTTAAAAGCTCACTTGCTATTAAGGACAAAGGCTAATTCAATTCCCTACTATATGATACCCGGGGAGAATTTTCTAGGAAAAAACTTTTAGGTCACCAAACATGTTTAAAATTTGCTGATTTATGGATTGGAAGCAAATGTTGGCAGAGTTGAAAACTACTTTATTATCGACAAGAAGATCTGTTTTTTCCTCTCCTATACACCATAATCTTAAAACTGCCATTGTAGGCTCTAACAAGAAAATGAGCTATTTCATATAGGAAGAAATTATTCTGTAATAAAAATTTTGTCACATGCTAGGTACCTGTGGCTCATGCATCTAATCTTACCTATTTAGCAGTCGGAGATCTGAAGATGGTGGTTCAAAATGCCAGCCCAGGAAGCTTATCTCCAGTTAACCACCAAAATGCCAGAAGTGTAGCTGTAGCTCAAGTGGTAGAACATTGTCCTTCAGCAAAATAGCTCAGTTATAATGCCTAGCCCCAAAGTTCAAGTGCCAGGGTGGGGAAAAAGAGCTCTGTATGATAGCTAAATGACGCCAAGAAAATTATCTTTCATCTTCTTCAGGATAACTTTTTTGTTGTGTTCTTTGGTTAAACTTGGGGCCTAGTGCTTATTGGATGGGTATGCTGGCACTTATGCCATATATGCCAGCCCTTTTTGCTTTAGTTATTTTTCAGATAGGGTCCTGTGATTTTTGCTTGAAACCAGCTTCGTAATGTAATCCTCCTACTCTTAGCTTCCTCAGTAGCTGGAATTATAGATGAGAACCACTATGCCTAGCCTGAGAGAACCCCTGGAACTCCAGCAATGTTTCATGTCTAACCCAGTCTAGGTTGGTCACATGTCTTCATATTACACAAAAGCACAGCAGGTCGGTTAGAACTTCCTGCTGACATGTTGTGAGTGCCATGAGAGTAGTAACTTCAGAGGCTCTAGCTTCTTTTATATTACACTGGTCAGCTGCCCTGTCTTTGCTGGAATATAGTCTTGCTATTTCCTGTTACCTTCTTAATAAGTTTGCTGCCTAAAACAAATTTCTCTCTCTATAGTCAATTTCTCTTAGAGGAAACTATTTCTTTCTGTAGAACTCAAGCATATTAATTCTCTTGAAAACATAGAAACTTCTTTATTTTCATATCAACAATCATCTCAGATTTCTGCTGTTTTACATAGCAGAGCTCAAAGCACCTGTCTACACTCATTGTTTCTGTTTCCCGCTTTACTTCTCCTTCACTCACTGCTATCAATGCTTATCCCTTAGGCTTCACTGGGTGGAGTCATTCTTACAGCAGGGAAGCATCATATACCCTGCTAACATCCTGGTCCATTCTCTCCTTATCTTCTCCATTTCCATCGCAGTCACAATTGTATAGGCTTGAAAGGCAGTCCTCCTTTAAATACTTTTTTCTTTAGCTTTCCTGATTTCCATATTGCTAACATTGCTGGCAATGAATCCAAGGCATCATGAATCTGGGCAAGGCTCTAACATGGGGTGTTTTGATGCCATGTCTTCCCAATTTTCTAAAACTTTTCCCATGACTGAACTGTCTCACTGTCTTGTTTGTGCTCCTTCCCCACCACTTATTTTAGTGGTTTCCTGTCAGTGCTCTGACCCATTTTCTTTTTTAACTTTCATGAGTTACTGCTGATGAGGACAGGGACAGTCTCAGATAACAGGAAGGCTGAGCCAAAAGATCACTCAGGGCCCAGCCTGAGCAATGCAGCAAAAGTCCCCGTGAAAGTTAATCATTTAAAAAGGAATCCTTTCACCCTTTTTAAGCCTTTAGCCCATTCCATAATTCTTCACCAAGCTACAGACTCATAAACCCTGTTCTAGGTCTCCTCATGGCTGATGCGTAAGTGGCATATTAAAATTGACTTGGTTAAAGTCAGGCAAGTTAGCTCACACCTCACCTGTAATCCTAGCTACTCAGAAGGCTCGGATTTGAAGATTGTGGTTCCAAGCCAGCCTTGACAAAAAAGTTCCCATGAGAATTTTATCTCCAATTAACCACTCAAAAACCAGAAGTGGAGCTGTGGCTCAAGTGGTAGAGCTCTAACCTTGAGCTCAGGGACAGCACTCAGGCCCTAAGTTCAAGCCCCACAACCAACAAAAAAAAATTAACTTGGTTAAATGATTTTCCACATACCATGCCCTAAGCCAATCCATTCTCCTTCAGTCAAGCCTTGTGGATCAACTTGAAATGATGCCACACCTCACTTAGAAGAATGGAAACATAAGCTAAACTAATAACTATAAAATGTTACCAATAGTCCCACTTCAGACATACCAGATCTTGTCTTCTTTTATAATTTGTAGGAACAGCAGAGACCATATACTCTCTGCAGACAGGCAGGATCCCCAATACAGCCCTGAAGAAACTGTACAGGGCATGTTCAGCATTTTCTCCCAACTTCATCAATAATATATGACATACCTGAGAGGAGAAAAGCCACAGAGAAGGCAGAAACTCAGCTCTTATTCACATCCCTTCAGATAGAAATTCAAAACCAGAGAAAAATAGGTCCTCAGATGGGTGTTGGTGGCTCATGCCTGTAACCCTAGCAATGAAGGAGGCTGAGATCTGAAGATTGCAGTTCAAAGCCAATCTGGGCAGAACAGTCAATGAGACTCTTATCTCCAGTTAACCACCAGAAAACCAGAAAGAAGTACAACTATGGCTTTAAGTGGTGGAGCACTAGCCTTGAGTGAAAGAACTCAGGGACAGCAACGCAGGCCCTGAGTTCAAGCCCCACAATTGACCAGAAAAAAACAAAAAAGTGTCCTCATTCAAGATACCCATGTCTCTTTATGATATTCTTTGAATGTACCCAATATTGGCTTTGGGATTATGTGTGTGTATGGGTGTATGGGTGCCATTCCTGGAGCTTGAACTCAGGGCCAGATCACTGTCCCTGAGCGCTGAGCTTTCTTGCCCAAGGCTAGCTAGCACTCTATCACTTGAGCCACAAACTCCACTTTCCTGCCCAGAATGGCTTCAAACTGAGATCCTTATTTCTCACCCTCCTGAGTTAACTAGGATTATAGGTATGAGCCATTAGTACTTGGCTAGTGGTTTTGTGATTTCTTTTTAAAGCATAATATATATGTTTGTACATTATATTGAACATTACATTACATGAACATACTCTCTCTCTCTCTCTCTCTCTCTCTCTATATATATATATATATATACACGTATGTATATATATATACATATATATATATATATATATATATATATATTTACATAGCCCTAACTCAGTGACTTTTCTGGAAAAACAGCTGATTTTTAATATTTATCAGTTGTTCTAATTCTTTTTTTGCTGGTCCTGGGGCTTGAACTCAGGGCCTGGGCTCTATCACTGAACCCTCTCTGTGTTCAAGGCTAGAGCTCTGCCACTTGAACCACAGTGCTTTTTCTGTTTATGTGATACTGAGGAATCAAACAGGGCTTCATGCATGCTAGGCACACACTATAACACTAGGCCACATTCCAAGCCCAGTTGCTATGATTTTAACATGTCTACTTCAGCACTTTTAATACCACATTCACACCAAAGGTCTGTCTTCTAAAAGTCTTAAATATTTAATAATTGATTCACAAGCTAGTGGGAGTCAAATATAGCATATCACTCAAACACATACTGTACTTGTTGCATAATATGTGTTTGTGTTCCAGATAAGCCAGTCTATTTTATACCAATGGTTGGAGTATATTCAAGTAATAGGCTTTATATAATATGACTCCATATTTATTTCTGTACTAGTAAAAAATTTAATTGACAGATTCTTCACATGCTGTGTTCCTTGAAAGACTTAGTCTTGAGATGTGGATTTCTATCCAATTGGCTACTTCAGTACATAGAATAATATCACAGTACAGAATCCAATTTAGCCTCCTTGGTCTCTTTCATTCAGACATAGCTCATGGACCACGATCTGGTTGAACAAAAATGATAAAGGATATTTTTATAGACGTTTGTTTAGAGCCTGAAACTATTCACAAAATTTCATCCATGGCCTGAGGAGTACATTATGTAGAATGCTTATTAATTTTGCCTTTAATAAAATGTAGGGAAACAGAGAGAGAAGCCATAAATGTAAACATTGAGGTTAGAATTTACAATGAGTTAACATACTTGAATAGCCATACTAACAAATAAGAGACAAGTTGGTTAGAGAGAAGCTTTCATGAAGATAAATGTTCCACATACATATCAAATAGTACACAAAAAGCCAGTATGTCTGAATGAAGCTTATTTGCATCCCCGTAATTTGGAATATATAAAAATCTTATTAAAATACTCAAAACTTATTTTCACATATGTTTAATATTTTTTAACTCCTTGTCCTTGATTTGTACTCTGTTATATTTGTACAATTAATGAATTGCTAAATGGACACTACATACCATTTTCAATCCAGAATCGTATCAATACTATTATAATTATACGTGAGGTTTACTTTGCGATTATTAAACTTTTAGCTATTTTTATTCTATTTTACTCATTTATTTGTGTGTATGTGTGTGTTTGTGTGTTTGCCACTGCCTGCCTTTGGACTAAGAATCTGGGCATTGTCATTTAGTTTTGGCCCTCAAGGCCCACAACTACTTGAGCCATAGCAATACTTCCAGCTTTTGGGGGGTTAATTGGAGATAAGAGTGTCAGGAAATTTCCTGCCAAAGGTGATTTCAAATTAAGATCTCAGCCTCCTGAGTAGCTAGGATTACATGCGTGAGTCACAAGTGCTTTGCAAAACTGTATGTCTACAATAATACTTTATAATTACTCTCTTCTAATGTAAGTCAAACACATTAGTTAGTAGAATTCTTATTATGAATTTGATTTTTCTTTTTATTTCTTTTGTGGAAATGTCTGATAATATCATTTAGAATCTGTGTGTGTGTGTGTGTGTGTGTGTGTGTGTGTGTGTGTGTGTGTGTGTGCGCGTGTATGTGGTGTATGTGTGTGTGTGCTGATTCTGGTGTTCAAACTCAGGTTCTGGGTGCTTCCCTGAGGTTTTTTGGCTCAAGGCTAGCAATCTATCACTTAAACCACAGCTTAACTGGAGATAAGAGTATCATGGGTTTTCCTGCTAGGGAAAGTTTAAACCTTGATCTTCAGATCTCAGCCTTCAGAGTAGCTAGGATTACAGGTGTGAGTCACTGGCTCCTGTTTTCATTAGAATATTTTAGTAACCATATTATCTTCTTTTCCCAAGTTGTCACTAATTTATGACATCATCACGTATTAATATCTTTAATCTTTTCAGATTGCTCAAAGACTGCCCTGGCTTTGTGTTTACCCCTCGGTCAAGGGAAGAGCTTCCACCAAATTTCCCCAGTGAAATTCCTGGAATCTGCCATTTTCTGGATGCTTATCAAGAAGGAACAGAATCAAAACCATCCTTCCAAAAGAACAACATTGAATATAGCAATGCCAACTTTTTAGGTAAAGCTTCAGGGATAGATTAGTGAGGCAGATATTTGTTTCCTTGTATTTGGGGTTTGACTCCTATGAGGATGTATGGGACCTCTGAAAGCACTTTAACATTCAGAAGGTTAAAAGAGCAGTATTAAAGTTTCAGGAGTTAAGTCACAATCTACTCTTCAGTGTAACATGACAATGACATAATCACTCAGTACTTTAAAGAAAACAAACCTCAAAGTGTGACTTTGGGGGAATGTTTCTCTATACGGTCACTAACTTCCAGCACCTAAAATTCAGCACTTTGTACATATACCAATTATTGTACTCACATGTATAGAGCAATGGAGTCCCCTGCTGGCATCTGCCTTGGGAAAAGCTCCTGGATTTAACGTGTGTTTGTGATAGTGTCACCTTAATAAAAGCTTTTGATTAGTGACTCTACTCCTGGAAGCATTAAGATATTTCAGTCTTTCAACTGTGCATCTGATTGTCATGCTTAATTTAGCTGTTAGCAGATATAAGCAAATAGGTTGAGATATTTTTCTTCAGTTGCACCTTTCTATTTCTTGTTTTTTTTATAGAAAATAAACAACTACGTGTTATATTACAATGTTACAAATTTTTCTGTGACTGTCAAATAATATTTTTAGAGTTTCCCCATTACACAATGTATCATTCCATAAGAATTTTCATTGGTTAGACATTTATTATTTTTATTTTATACATTGCAAAGGCTGTATTAATTTATATTAGCAATTTAATTTCTAATAATTCATTTGAGTATTGTAACAGAAAAATATCCAAAATAATAGAAGCTTATAGCCTCTATTAACATGCAAGAATGGAGCAACATGGGATTAATGTGTGCATCCAAGGGATAAATTATAAAGTAGTACAGCATTCACATTCATGCACACACACACACACACACACACACACACACACACACACTGAGAATAACTTGGGTCTAATTCAGCAGACATCACCCATTGCCTTGATGAGCCATACAACTTCCATGGGAAAAAATTCTTAAGTTCAGGAATGGAAAATAGACTTTTAAAAATGATTTTTGTAGCTCATTTTTCTTAAATATTTGTGCTAAGCATTTATGGTGTGTGTATATATATTAGAATCAAGTTTTTATATTATTAAGTGTATATCTGTGAATTATTTTATCTACTTGAAATATCTTAAGATATTTTCTTAGGAGACCACTAGTACTGATTAAAAAAAACAGACAAGGCTGAGATTGCATCACAGAAATAACTAACCATTTTTCTGGAGCTTGAATGTTACCACCCTACACTGGGAATGGAACCCAGGATTTCACAAATGCTAAACAAGTATTTTACCATAGTGTTATAGTAACAGAGTATGAAATTTTATATTTACTGTCAGTCTGTTTTCTGATGAACTCTGATGAAATCAGAGTTTGATTTCAAAAAAGAATTCATTTTTTGAGGCAAGATCAACTTACTGGACACTTAATATTTGTGCAGTTATCGTATATAATCATGTACTCATACTTTGATCAAAATTAATTAACTCAAAAAAAGAGATCAACTTGAAAGCAAGAGAGGATTATAGCATGTAAATCAGGATCAGCAGAACCATACAATGTATACATACACTGACTGCTTAGTTAGGGTTCTATAAAGTAGCTCAGTTTAAAAGTTCTTTAAGTTTGTCTACTTGTGCCCAGGCTTGGAAGCAAAGTAATCCCTAATTGACCTCTATATAGCAGGAGCACTATTGTATATACTGCAACGATTACTGTTCAATAAATACTCTAATGTCTTAAAGGACTGGATATGTCTCATTGAAAACCCACCCTGTTATTGGGTGTACCATAGGTCTGAGGGAAGTGTATTTATAGATTTATAGTCTTACAATGATAAGAAACTCAGTAAGAATTTCTTTTAAAAAGAAAGATGGACATTTCCTTTTTTTTTCTTTGGTCAGTCATGGGGCTTGATCTCTGGGCCTGGGCGCTGTCCCTCAGCTCTTCAGCTCAAGGCTAGCACTTTTCCACCTGAGCCACAGCGCCACTTCCGACTTTTTCTGTTTATATGGTGCTGAGGAATCAAACCCAGGGCCTCATGCATGCAAGGCAAGCACTCTACTGCTGAGCCATCTTCCCAGCCCAACATTTTCTTTTTAGAACTGAATACATAGGGGGAAAAAAACCTAAAGAAAATGAATAGACATAAAATAACAACAATTTTCATCAAATATTAGTGTCCCCAACTTTATAAATCTGTGCTCTAAAAGTTTGTAAGTTACCATTCAATAATATTTTTCAGAGTTGTCAGTGTAGCACAGTGGTAGAGCATTTTCCTCACATGTATAAAGCCCTGGGTGTAAAGCCCATCACTGCAAGATAAAGTTATCTTCCATGTGTATGTGATGTATTACTACATGCACAGATACCTGCACATATAGAACAATTGGTGAGAAGTGTATAAATCTGGGTTCAAAGCTGTACTGGAGTTCCTTGTATTCCTATTCCTGCAACTTTTCTATAATTTTGACGTATCTAAATAAAAAGGCATCAACACTGTATTTTCCCAGAGAAACTATCTCTGATAAGTTCCCTAGACAAACCAGCCAGGGCAAGTTAATCACAGAAAAAATAATAAAAGAAGCAAATCAGAGGAATATGGGTGTGAGCCACAGTATCAAAGATTCTAGATAGGGAGAAATCCTTAAAGGTTGAAAATGGGAAGATGAGATGCATATCTGTGAACAGTAGTTTTGGAAAACACATGAAAATAATGGATATCTATTTGTACATTTTACCTGAATATTCGTCTACATTTCAAAGTAAAATAAGTCATGCTATCCTCTGGATATTTTATCAATAGTATAAACAGACACTTAGCTATCTAGCACTTGAATTTCACATAATACTCAAGCCACTGGTATCCTTTGGTAGAGAAAATAGAAGAGTTATAGTATTATTTTAACTAATATTTCTCCCAAATTGCTTCTCTTATTATTGCCACTCACACCAACACCACTCTTGCTAGACCTCTCTTCTGCTTAGGTTTAAAGAAGGCACAGGATGCATGAAGCAGGTGCTCTATGAACAAGAGATTCTAATCCAAATAGTACTGGGTATGTGTTTGGGGCTCCTGAGATTGCCCAGGCAGGAACTGTTCCACAAGAGCATTACATACAAAACCCTAATAAAGTCAATGCTAAATGCTTTTTTAAAGTTTTGTTTCGTTTTTCATATCTCAAGTCTCTGTTAGCTCAACTGTTAAAGTCCCCAAAAAGAACATGTTGATGACTTATTGCAGAGGATTAAGTACATGTATTTGACCTAAATAAACCATTATTGATAAGTGAAGAAATCTTTTTAGATATATATTTGTCAGGATGCTTTGATAGATCATGTGTTAATCAGCTTTCCATTACTGTAACACATACTGAGAAAATCACCTTGTGAAGAGGAAAAGTTTATTTTGGCTTACAGTTTCAAAGATCTCCATCCATAATTAAGTAGATTTATTATTTTTATTCTTCTGGTGGTTGGGAGAGCATATCATGGTAGGATCACACGGCTGAGATAAACATCTCATGGCTGAGAAATAAAGGAAGAAAGAGGAAGAGCAAGAGCTAGGGGATCTCACTATTGTCTTTAAGGGCAGGTACTTGATGATTCACCTCCCAACACTTCCACCCCACAGCAACACCAAGCTGGGAATGATGCCTTTACCATAGGATCTTTGGGTGATGTTCCAGATATGAACTAATGCAGATCCTGCTTTTTACTGAGGAACAAAACAGACTTATAGCACCTAAGGTTGTATGCTGGTACTAATCTACCCTTCAGTTAATGGGACTTGGACAGTTAATTGGAGAAATAGTTAAAGACCCATGGGTGGATACGGAACACCAGGGTTCTCTCCCCGCCTTCCCCCCCACCCCGCCCCCGTGTAATAAAGCCTCAACAAGATGTGTTGTAGTTCTCCTTCAAGACAAATGCAATGCCTCAGAGTCAAGAGGAAGCACAATTCACTTCTGTGCATAGATAAACAGCATTGACAGCCCATTAAAGCAGATAACATCAAAATGTCTCTTGGATTTCTATTTACAGTGTCACTATGAACAGCTTAGGCTGGGATACTTTCCATGTCCTAAACATTTTGTGAAAATCAGGGAAGAATATGTAGTCTTGACAGCCAGCCCAGAGTTCATGGTAAAGAACTAATTAGACCCTTGTAACTTTTGTTAAGTTCAGATTCCATAGGTTCTTGGTAGGTTTTGGATGAAGTATTGTTCCTTCTTAGATGCTCCTTTCATTATCTTGATGATAGGTATTCATTTGTTTTTCTGAGTTTAAACCACATCAAACTGTATGCATGTTATCTCCCTCTATATTTCCTTTGAAGAAAGTTTGGTTGTAGACACACCTGCACCTGATTTGATTTCCCATTAGAATCCACACATTCTTTTATCTGAAACTACCATCTTTTTACTTCCTGTATGTTCATTTGTTTCCATATTCTATGCCTGTAAACAAATAGCGAAGTCCTCATGAATGCATTTTTTAAAATTAAAAAACATGACCATTAAGAAAAAAGAGATATTCTACCGGCCACATTTCTCTTACCATCCATTCTGATTCTTGGCATCATAATAAACTTGAAATATAAACTTTAAATAAACATGAAACATAAATATCATAGTATTAAAAATTAGGGTAGGTATCAGCATAAAATCATAGTTACATATCCAGACTTAATCTCAGAAATGTTTGGAAAAGATTTCAGAACAAAGTGGGCTAATTTTCAAGCTTATACATTTTTTTAACTAATGTCACGTCAAAAAATCCCCCAAATTATGAAGAAAAGTGTTTAGCACAACTTAACTCTGTAGATGCAAAAACCTAAAGGTAGCTATTTAGTCTAAAATGCTGCCAGATCCATATTTATTGAAGAAAAAACTATTAGCTAACTTCAAAGTTAATTTAAACAAACTGCATGTCTTTCTATTTCTTTATAAATCGTACAAGACCATTCATTATAATGAGTGAGTATAACATTTTTGATTCATTCATCCACTGAGGGACATCTGAACTGATTCCATACTTTGGCTTTGGTGAATACTGCTGCAATGAAAATGGTTGTTTTGGTGGCTTTGCTGTATGCTGACTAAGCACTCAAAGTTCAACAAAATAAACTCCAGGTACTTGAAAGATGTGGATGGAGTCAAGAGAAAAGGGAGAGATGAATAAAGAGGAAAAGAGAAAGAGAGAGAATTCAGTCAAGAATTCAATGTATAGCCTAATAAATTAAGAAGAGAGAGGGAAGAGATGCATAAGAAAGGGATTGGTGAGAGTGTTGAAAAAGGTGACACTGAGCAAGATGCATTGTATTCATAAACATCTTTGTTAAATGGCAACTCTTTTGTACAACTACCTAATGGTAATA